AACCGGGCACACCGGGACAGACTCACCACCCGTCGCAAAACGGTTCTGATCTGCCTTCCCGCGAAGGCCCGGAGGAGTTAATGCCACCGAAGAAAGGTCCCATGCCAGTACAGAGGCGGAAGATACTGGCAGGGGGACCAGATTGGGTACCCAACAGCCTTATGCACGACCCGGTACTGCTACGACTACTGACCTTCGTGCTTCGGGAAGAGACAAACGGGTTCTCTGGGCTGATATGGAAGAAGAGGATGAGACCGAAGAAATAATTGTTGAGGGGGAGGAAGGAGCTCCCCGGCAAGAAGAGACAGATGCTCAGCAAGTAACACGCGCCTCTGTTTTCCCAGGATCGATACTGGAGGCGATGGCTGCAGGCCAGCCCTGTGTGATCGTGCCTTTAGTTTTTTTGACCATTGATGGAAATTTACATTTGCTTACTGCCTTAACAGAGCAGGGACACACTGTGCCTTATTTTGAACTTCACCAAGAGCCTGTCCAAGAGTTGGTAATGCCAGAGGTCACTAAATGGTTAGCCCCTGCGTTTTGCATCAGACCATACCTGGGTATGGAGTGGGTTAGGCTGACACCTACCAATGCGCAGGGAAGAACCGATATCTTGTATTTTCCGATGGTTGATGCAATTGCAAACCGTTCAACGAACGCTGCACCTCTCTTGTCTGGGATTCGATGGACATCCCTGCAGTTGTTCAAGAATCCGACCGATCAGACTGCAATGGACACGAAAAATTATGATTGTTGGACAATCATAATCAGTTTCTTCTGCTCAAATGTTTGGATTGGGTCGTTTAATCAACCATTATGGACAAACTCAGATTAGTATCATGGAACATACGCGGACTGGGATCCTGTAGTTGCGATTAAACGATCTCTTATAAAAACATTGACAAGAAACAAAGGCGTGCAGATTGTTTTGCTCCAAGAAACAAAACTGGATACTGCGGTGATTGAGGAACAAATGGGGTGGTGGCTTGGACATCAGTTCTGGGCACCTGCCCAAGGTACTAGAGGCGGGGTGGCTATCCTCATTACCCGAACGGCCCCTCTTACTGTGACTGATTACAGAACAGACCATAACGGCCGATGGGCCTGGGTCCGTTTTACTGTTCTTCAACAAGACTGGGAGATTTTCAATCTGTATGCTCCGACAGGCCAATCGAATAGAGTGGAACTTTTCAAGTCCTTGCCCTGGCTCCTTCCCCAAGTCGATAACCTCATCCTGGGGGGGGACTGGAACACTGTCTTTATACCGGGAACAAACTCTCTTCGCGTGGGACCCGTTACATCAGATGCAGTATATCTCTCTGATTTCTGCACAACCAATGGATTTGCAGACATTTTTCGCCTGCTGCACCCCTTTGACAATGGATATACCTTTTTTGCAACAGGAGCCTACGCTCAGCAGTACATCCCACGCAGTTGCATTGACCTTTTTCTTGCTTCTGAATCATTGGTACATAAAATCTCTAGATGCTTTGTGGTTTCTTTTTTAGGATCTGATCACTTGCCGTTATTTTTGGAATTTTTTTTGCATTCATCAGTTCGCATGGGAAGGGACCGAGTTTCATTGCCAGAATGGGTGGTGAAACATGACGAATTCAAACGATTCTTGCTAGATTTCTGGGTCAAATGGCGCACTTCACAACCATTATTCCCCTCCTTGGCAGATTGGTTCCAAGGGGGCCTGAGGGTGGTTTGCAAAAGAGGATTGCTCGTCAAAAAACTTGTTGTTGCCAACTCTCGTTCGCAACTCACAATGATCAACGATCAAATGGCAGAGCTCACACGCAGAGCAGCGTTGGCAACAGGCAATGAACAACAACTTATGGCCGACATGGACAGACTCAGGCAACAATGGACGATGCAAACTAAGCCTGCAATAAGAGCCGTCACACACCGGAAGCGTATATCTTGGCTGATCAAAGGGGATCGAATGACTGCGTCCTTCTTTGAAGGGCGACGTCCCCCTCACAAACCTGGCTTGATCTTGGCAATGAAACATCCGTTTATGGATGCTCAGCCACTCGCTGTAGATACTCCATCAATCATTCTTAACATTTCATTGTTTTACGAGAGTTTGTTGGCATCGCAAGCCCAACATTCTGAGGAACAGCTGCTTGATCAATTTCATCACTTGATCTGGTCTAAACTGTATCGCAAGTTGACACAACAGCAGTCTGAAATGTTGGAAGTGGACATAACGCATCAAAAATTGATTGACGCAGTGAAATTGTTGGCAGATCATAAAGCACAAGGAATTGATGGATTGCCCTCTACCTTCTTCAAACGATTTTCTCCTCTTTTAACCTCGGAACTCTTAACTATATGTCGAGCAGTGTGGAATGGGGGGACCCTACCTGCTTCTGCATTAGAAGGGATCATCACCTTTGTTTTCAAAAAAGGGGACCGGACCGAAGTTCACAATTACCGACCGATCATATTGATGCCCGCCATGTATAAGATTTTCTTCAAAATTTTGACAGCAAGACTGCAACAAGTACTAACGACGATCATCCACCCCTCGCAAACTGGCTTTTTGCAAGGGAGACAAATCCTTTACAACGTTATTACAGTGGAAAGATTCATGGAATGGGTGACAGATGGAGAAGAGCAAATGGCAGTCATACTACTTGATCTGGAGAAAGCATATGATCAGGTGGGGCTGGGAATTCCTACAAGCTACAATGATTACCTTTGGTTTTGGACCTAAGATCCGACATGCAGTCAAGGCACTCTTGGTTGGGGCTACCTCCAGACTGTGTGTCAATGGGACGCTTTCCCCACCAATCTTACTCTCTCGGTCGGTAAGGCAAGGATGCCCTGTGGCCCCTTATCTGTACATATTGTATGTAGAAGTTATGCATGTTTTGATTAGAAGTAACCCCGACATTCCGGGATTTCTTTTGCCCTCAGGCGATAGGCTCAAATCGGAGGCTTTTGCTGATGATTCAGTAGCATTTACTCCTTTGATGGATGCTGCCCTTAAAGAGCTGCAGGACACTATTGTTCTCTTCTGTCTGGTTTCACAAGCTGCAGTCAATTGGTCCAAGTCATCAGTCCTTGTGCCACCAGGAGCCCAACCCCCCTGTCATTGGGGACTGAGGGTTGTGGTGCCTACACAACAGGAACGGTTGTTAGGACACCGGATATCATTCGCCCCTCAACTGCAACTAGATTCCGCTTCTTCCTTGACGTCACTCCGGGCTGCCTTTCAGCCTTGGACTGCCCATAAAGGGGTGAGCCTATACGGACGGACGATCTTTGGTAATCAATAATGCTTGTTTTTCTACACTTTGGTATCACAGGTCGATCTACCAACTTGACTCATCTTCTCTGCAAACAGTGCGCCGCCTTGCCACACCTTATCTTTGGAAAGAAGAAACAAATCAAGAGAATTACCTACCCAAAGTGGCTTGGGAAGTGGTCACACAGCCCAAACGGAAAGGAGGCCTGGCAGTTTTGGACCCGGAGAGGCAAATTGCAGCGCTGTTAGCAAGATGGATACCGTGGGGCCTGCTAGCTGATTCCACCTTCGGGTGGAAACAACTAGCAGAACCTGCACTTTTGTCGATTTGGGGATGGGAGAACCCTAAACATGTCTGGTTGCCCTCGCTCTTCGCCTCCTACCTTAGGAAACGCTTGCCGTCAGATATATGGGGAGGCATATTGAAAGCCTGGAAGCAAGTTGCCTCTGTTTTGCAACCACCGCCAATGGTAATGGAGCAGATACTCACTCAACCCCTGTTTCATAATCAGTTTATCTATTCAACTCAAGGGAATCCCTTCCAAAGCCATGGGCCGGGGGCCTTTGGCAATGCCTGGATGGAACGAGGCATAGGGACAGTGGCTGACATATGGGACCCTGTGTTGGCTGATTGGAAACCCTTTGAAACTCTGGCACCTTCGCTCTCTGGTCTTTGGCACCAGCGGGACCACTTACAACAGCTACAGCAAGCAATCCCGGACACTTGGGTGCAGGTTCTGAGAGCAGGTCTTGTCCCTGCTCAGGGAATGTGGTATAAACATTCGCACCAAGAACAACCACTGCAAATATGGAAAATGGAGACTTATTCGGAGGAAGTTGAGCCCTAATATATTTAAAAAAAAAACAGTTCCCAAATCAATTTCCCAAGTGTTTCTCTGTCTCTTGCTTTTTTTTTTTTTTCCCTTTTCTTTTTTTTAGCACATGGGCCCCATCTATTCTGGTGGGCAACAGTCCGGTTGCTTATTATCGGCAAGCACGGGCTCTTGGTTCTACGGGCTATCCCAGGGCTGTCCCATGTGGCTCTCTCTTTAGTCCCCTCGTTCCCCCACGCCCTCTCTGCCCTCGCCGTTTCTGTCTTGCCTCTGCCTTTTGATGTCTCTCTTGCTTTTCCAGTAGAATGTACATTCGCAATGTCGGCAAAGGTTAATGATCTCTTTACGGTCCGAGCGATCTGTCTCTTTCGCTCTCGTTGTCTCTCCCTCACATATACGTACGGCAGGCGCAAGAGCCCTAGGACAGCCCGTAGGCCCCATCTATTCTGTTGGGCAACATTTCTCATGTCTCTTGAGCCTACCGGCATGTCCCAGGGCATTCTTGGAGCTCAACGGGCAGAAAAAAGGACATCGACGTTAGAGAAAGTTCTAGAACATGCAAAAATCCTCTCTTAAAAGAATTTTCCGCTTGTCCTTGCGCATCGGCACAGCAATATTCATGGCTCCCCCCCCCTCCCCTCCCCTCTTCTTTTTGTTTAGCAGTATGCATGGCTTACATAGTTTCATTCTCGGTGTAGCAACCGTGCAAAGTCCTATCTCTCCATTGTTTCATTCTCGGTGTAGCAACCGTGCAAAGTCCTATCTCTCATGGCGTTGACACTTCTGCAGATCAGTGCCCTGCTGCAGATCAATAGCCTGCTGCAGACCAGTAGACAGCTGTGGATCAAAAGGCCACTGCATCCTGACCTGACTTTTCACATTGTGAAATTGATTTGTTTTCATGGCAGGTATTGTGCTTGTGCCCTTATCCGTCAATGTTCGACTGAATGCAACAGCACCTGCACCAGGACTTGGTTTCGAGGCACAGGACATGAATGGATTGAGAGCTATGAAAGGAATCCATAAGATGGTGGAGTACGCGAGTGTGTGGCACAAATACGACCCACCACAGGTGGACCCTCTAGCAGAGCAAAGTCTTTATCATTGGGGTACTTCAGAGTGGAGCTTGTGTAGTAATGACTGCGGAGGCGGCACCCAGGTAGGTAGCCTCGTTTATCCCTCCCTTTTCCTCCTGTTTCCTACCTTGAATTCGTCCTTTGCCCTTTTTTTTTTTTTTTTTTTTTTTTTTTTTTTTTTTTTTAAACACCCCCTGCAGTGCTAGTGAATTCCTCCTTTGCTCAGCAGGCATGGATTGTTGTGCATGAATATCTCTAGCAGCGCACCAGAAAGCTAGCAGCTTGGTACAGGTCCTCTCTCACATTCCACAAACAGTTTTGGTGTTATGTTTACCTCCAAAGCTTTCCGAGAGCAGCACTGCTGTCCTTGGACATTATGTGAGAGTTATGTCAACCTCACACTCTACTGCAGCAAGAAGAACAAAAGTTATGATCCAAGTTTCAAATCATTGTGCAAAACTCAGATTCGAGGCAAGTACATGGAGTGTAACGCAAAAAAGAAGAAGAAAAGAGAGAGAGAGAGAGAGAGAGAGAGAGAGAGAGAGAGAGAGAGAGAGAGAGAGA